CTGGACGGGGGAGCCGCCCACCTCGCTGATGCCGCCGCCCCCCTCCTCAGCCCGGCCGCGCAGTCCGGAAAGGGTGGCCAGAAGGGGCTGAAGGAACTTTGCCGCGCCGGGGCTCTGGCGATTCGCCCGAGTTGGCTGGACCTCGCAGTCCAGAGGAGGAGGAGGAGAATTCCATTCAGAATAAATTATATCTACTGCTTAAGTGGAGTGTTCAAATAACAGTGTTGAAAGCTACACATTTACTTTAATATGTGCATTTCAAGAACTACAATAAGCCTAAATTGCATTTAAGCATGGAGAAACTGAGGAAAACAAAGATTTAAAAGTAAGCACCATCCAGGGTTGATGTAAGAGATTCAGTTGCAAATGATGTGCCATGTAAACACAAGGAATTCTTTCCACACCAACATGAGAGATGCAAGACAAAACCAGCAGAGGTCTGTTTCGAGGCCCAAGAACAGGATCGGTCATTGCCAAAATATGGGCCAGTTCTTCATGGTCATGCTCTAGGAAATAAGTTGTAATACATAAGTATTAAATATATGCAAATCCCAAGCATTTTTTTTTTAAATGACTTTTCAAATACTTATTATTTTAGTTCACAGAAGTGAGGAAACACAGGGCTTCAAGTGGTGTGGACAAATTATCTAATTCTGATGTTTCAGGGCTGGATCAGCTGCACTCGCATCCTTTTTATCTGTTATTTAAAGACCTCTGTAGATTTGCAGACAACCTTAACATCAGAGCATTTTACAGGTACCCCACAGTGATCAAAATAATCACTGAGAAAGTCTGACACCCACACAGACAGTAGCCCTTCCCTATCAACTTAATTTTTCTTGCCAGCATATCCTCCCCATTCTTTGTTACTTGTGTTACTTAGGCTATTATAATGGGACAATCCTAATTTGTGGTGGTTACATCTTGCACTGCAGTGCTCCTGGTAAAGGCTCTGTTTCCAGGTTATTACATCAGCACTGCTGTATTTCAGGCTTCTTCTCCCACTCACCCTACTCTCTGTACTCCCCTACTGCCTCCCAGGTTTTGTTTTGTTCTTTTAGTACAGATCATTTCCCAGATCTGACTTGGGAGCAGGTATGCAGTACCGGCACTGACAGAAAGGGCCATAACCCCTTGCAGGAAGGGGAGGTGACCTCTCCCTGAAGAAATAGCACCAAGGAAGCAAACACTGAAAGAAGTAGAATATGGATTTTGATGTATTCCATATTCTTTAGAGATCTGTTCATGACATTTCAATCATTCACAAAATATGAGTAAATACAATAAAGAGAAACCTCTTACTTTTATGAGCTTCTGCATTAGCAACATAGAATCATAGAATCATTAAGGTTGGAAGGGACCTCTAGAGGTCATCTAGTCCAACCCCCCTGCACACACAGGGTCACCTAGAGCACATGGCACAGGACTGCGTCCAAGCGGGTTTTGAAGATCTCCAGAGAAGGAGACTCCACAACCTCTCTGGGCAGCCTGTTCCAGTGCTCTGTCACCCTCACTGTTAAGAATTTTTTCCTTAAGTTCCTATGGAATTTTTGGTGCTTCAGTTTCCGGCCATTTCCTCTAGTCCTATCAGTGGCCACCACTGAAAAGAGACCAGCACC